CCTGCGGGATAACCCCCCCCAGCCCCAGCCCCTTTGCGACCACACCGCACCCTGCCGACCCAGTATGACCTGACACTGGCCCCTTTCCAGCAGCTTTTGCGCCAACCGCAGCTCACCTTCGGAAAGTCTCCGGGGAAGGTAGTAGATGACGGACGGTTCCCCATTGGACTGGTCTGGCGCGATTGATTCCTGGGAAGTCAGCGCCTCAACGGCCATGTCGGGGAGTTGGCTGCGAGTATAGAACCCGTTGTCCCGTAGAGATTTCACGTAACCCTGGAACAACCCTTCGATTGCGGAAGATACGGCCCCGGAAGATGCGGCTTCGAAAGGTACGGCAGGCGGCGGTTCCGGGCTGTATCCAGCGGGACGCTCAGCCATTTGCCTGAAGGTGGCGGCCAGCGCATCGTAAAAACGCCGTCGACCGGTGTCCGACAGGTGCGAAATGTCGGAAGCAGACCACGATTGGGCTGCATCTCGCACCGCCTGCGATTCTAGCAGTCGTGACAGGGGACGGCGGAGGGCGGAGCCACTGACTCCCGCTGACCTGAGGATGGGTTCTGCCAGTTCGGCGGCCAGGCGGTGGCCCACCTGCACCGTGACGTTGATGGTTCCGCTGGAGCCGAGATGATGCCTCACCGCGCGGGCCACGTCGCTGTGGTCGGTCACCACCACCACGCGGGCAAACGGGTCGGTGGATTTGGCGTGCTTCACCGCACCAATCAGGGATTGGAGCGACGCATTCCCGATGGGCGCGGTGGTGACGCAGGTCGTGTCAGGAGGCATCGGCAGGGTTCCTGGCGAATTGCTGCGGGTATTCGAAGCAGATGCTACATTATCGCAGTAATCGGGCGGGTTGGCCTTCGGTGCATGTCATCTCCGTTATTCCGGCCTTGAGCCGGAATCCAGAGACATCTTTTAACCGCAATGTTGCTTATCCTTGGCTTCCTGGATTCCCGCGTTCGCGGGAATGACAGGTTGGGGCCAGGATTCTACCTTCAACTCCGAACAGTTACATGAGACGTGGTCGGTAATGGCGCGCGACGTGATTGTGGTTATAATGTCGCTGCTAACAGGAGGCAACGGCAATGACGCAGCAGAATACGACCGAGACTGAAAGGCTTTGGACTTACGACACGGTGAGGGTTGGGCAGGCCGGTGGCGCCACCGAAGTAACGATATCGGATGCCGACGTAGCCGAGTACGCGGCCTGTGCCCAGAATCCCGACCCTCGCTACCGGATGCCACTCGTGGGAAGCGCCGCGCCGCCATTGCTGGCGATGCCCACCATGGCGTTGACCTACGCTCCGCTGTTGCGCGAAGAGATCGCCGAAGCCAACGGATTCGTGGCGCAGGAACGATCCACCACGGCGCGGCGACAAACGCCGTTCGCCAAGGGTGAGGTTCGCTGGTATCGTCCGGTGCATGCCGGAGAAACTATCACGAGCACCCGGCGGGTGTACGAGAAATACGAGCGGCGGGGCAGTAAGTTCGTTACGTTTCGGGTGTCGGCGTTCGGCGAGTCGGGCGCGGTGGTCGCCAGCAGCGACTATACGTGCATCTTCGAGTACGTTGCCGGCCAGCGGGAGGTTCCACCGGAGGCCAGCGCCGCCGCAGTGACGCCGGACACCGACGCCGTGCCGGATCAGTCCCGATTCCTGACGTGGAGCGACGCCCGGGTCGGCACACCACTGCCGAGGACATTGGCCGTTGCCGAGTCTACCGAGAATATCCTGCGCAAGAACGCCCAACGGCTCGCCGGGCGACCCAGTCCCAGCAACATACACACTGATGAGGAGTTTGCCCGGCAGAACATATTTGGCGGTGCGGTGAACGCCGGCCCGGCCACCCTCTCCTACGTTGACCGTTTCCTGGGCCTCAATTTCCCGGTCGAAGCGCTTTACAACGGCGGCAATCTGCTGATGCGCGCCATAACGCCGTTCCGCGCGGGCGACGTGGTGACCTTCGCCGGCGAGGTAACGGGCGCTGGCGGCAACCTGTACGGCCAACGCAAGGTGCAGTGCCGTATCCGGGGCACCAACCAGCGCGATGAGCTGGTGTGTCTCGCCGACGCCACGGTGACACTGTAGTAACCACCATGAGTACTCTGGATAGCGCCCAGATCGAAGCGAGGGTTCGGGAGGCGCTGGCGGCTTTATCCATTGTGGATTGGGAGTGGATTCCCATCGACCCACAGTTTGGCGACACCGCCGATTTCTGCGCCGAATACGGGTTCGACCTGCCGCACTGCGCCAATACCATCGTGGTGGGCAGCAGACGGGGCGCTGCCTCGTACGCGGCATGCCTGGTCAGGGGCTGCGACCGCCTGGATGTGAACCGAACCGTGCGACGGTTGATGGGCGTTTCCAGGGCATCCTTCGCGTCTGCAGAAGACACCAGTGAACTAACCGGTATGCAGATTGGCGGGGTTACGGCGCTGGCGCTGCCGGCCGATTTGACCATCTATGCCGACCAACGCCTGCTGGAGATGGATTACGTGATACTGGGCGCGGGCAGCCGCTCGGCGAAGCTGAAAGTGCCGCCGGCCGAATTGTCCAAGCTGCCCAACCTGCAGTTCGTCGATGGTCTGTCGATGGCGTCGGAATGATGCGATGATCGCCGGGTGCAGCGCGTAATCCGTACCAACACCACCCCGCTGGTGCGCGCTTCAAGCGGGTGAAGGCCGTTTTTTAATCCCCGGCAAACGGGCGGCAAACCCGGTATAATGGCGACCACCCGCGCCAATGCACTTGCAGGCCGCCCAGCCGGAGGAATCATGCCCATCATACAGCGCCCCTACGTTCCACCTGAAGACAAGCCGCCGCAGGAGGACGCATTCCTGAATCCCGGCGATGTTACGCCGCTGCAGATCAACACCGGCACGGCCGCCGCTGCTGCTCCGGCAGAAGCAGCCGGAACACTCGACGCGGTTACCTTCTACAGCGACTCGTTCCATATCTTCAGCAGCCTGTATTCGGCGGTGCTGTTTTTCGGCGAACAGCTGGAGGAACGTGAGCCCATCCTGAGGACCCGCATCAAGGTGAGCCCGCAGATGCTGAAGGCGATCGCCGTGCTTGCCAGCAAGCATGTGAAGGATTATGAGGCGGCTGTCGGACCGATTACCCTGCCGGATCAGGTGTATACCGCCTGGGAAATCGACCTGGAAAATCACGACCACTAGAACGCGCTGGAGCCTGCCATGACGACTCCTGAGAATTCTGGCGACGATTCCGGTCGCCGGCACGACCTTCGCCCGGCGGATGATCCCGGAGGCGACGGCAGGCCCTTGGCAGAGGATCTGGCGCTGCCGGTCGTAGTCGAACCGAACGCCAGCACCTCGGAATTGGGTGAGGATTTGGAACTGGAAAAATACCTCTGCCAGCCAGCCTAACGCGGCTGTTTTCCACATCAACCACAGCGATGTAACCCGATCGTTCGCCGACGTGCTGACGCCCGAAGACAGCCCACCCGAGGCGCTGTTTGTCGTCTCCCACGAGATTCCCATCGTCATCATCGACAGCCTGGACAAATACTGGGCTGGGGAATCACGGCAGACGTTGCCCCTGAACGGGTTTGCGGGTTCCGGTGGAAGGCGACACCGTGGCCGAGGCGAAATCCAAGTTGGCCGGTGACCTTTCGGCGCAGATACGGCTGCTGCTGCTGCTCACCGCCGGCGGCACCGAGCTGGCGCCGCAGCTGCAGGACAACATGGCGATGCTGGGTCAGTTCCTGTCGCCGCGCTAGAGCCTGGTGACGATTAGCAGACCAGCCCGTCACTCCTGCGGAAGCTGGAGTCCAAAGAGCGTACGGTGAAAGAATCAAAACCGGTGTTGACGACTTCGGCCACTGGATTCCCGCTTACGCGGGAATGACGGTATTTGTCAACGCGCGCTAACCCTCCAGCTGCAGATTACGCACCGTATCAACCACCGATTCCACGGCGACCATCTGGGCTTCCGACTCGGTGCGGCGGCGCACTTCCACCATCCCCTGGCGCAGGTTGCGCGGGCTTACCACCAGGCGCAGGGGCAGGCCGATAAGGTCGGCGTCGTTGAACTTTACGCCGGCTGCCGCATCCTCCCGATCGTCAAACAGGGTCTCCACGCCAGCGGCCCAGAGCTGGTCGTACAGTTTGGTGGCGGCGGCGGCCACGCTCTCGTCTGACATGTTCAGGCCCACCAGATAAACCTGGTACGGGGCGATGGGGGACGGGAATATGATGCCGTTTTCATCGTGGTTTTGCTCGATGGCAGCGGCCAGGACCCGGCTGACGCCGATGCCGTAGCACCCCATAACGATGGGCTGATGCTGACCATCCTGATCCAGGTAGTTGGCGCCCAGGGCCTCGCTGAAGAACGTGCCCAGCTTGAAGATGTGGCCGACCTCCACGCCGCGGGTGGCCTGCAACTCGGACCCGCAGACGGTGCAGAGATGGCCGGGTTGGGCGAGGGCGATGTCGGTGAGCAGGTCGGTTTCGAAGTCCCGTGGGTGGTTGGCGTTCCGGTAGTGGGTGTCGGGCTGGTTGGCGCCGACCACAAAGTTGCCGCCGTTGTGGATGGACGGGTCGGCGATGCGGCGAATGTTGCTGATGCCGATGGCCGAAGCTGAACCGGCCACCAGGCCCGCCGCCGCCACTTCATCATCGTCGGCGAGGCGCAGGTCGTTGCAGTGCAGGGCGTTCTTGAGCTTGACCTCGTTGACCTCCAGATCACCGCGAATCGTCACGAACACAACCTCATCGTCAGCGTGATAGAACACGGCTTTCAGGGTTTGAGATTCGGTCACACCCAGGAAATCGGCCAGGCCGGCGATGGTCTTGATGCCGGGGGTGCTGACGGCTTCCAGGGGCAGCGGGTCGGGAATGTCCTGCGTGGGGTAGACGCCGGCGGCCTTCTCGGCGTTGGCGGTGTAGCCGCAGCCGGGGCAGGTGATGACGGTATCCTCGCCGGTATGGGTGGGCAGCAGGAACTCGTGGGAGTCCTTGCCGCCGATGGCGCCGCTGTCGGCTTCGGCCATGAGCACCGGCACGCTGCAGCGGCGGAAGACGTTGCGGTAGGCTTGGGCCATGGCCTGATACGACACATCCAGCGCATCCTCGTCGGTGTCGAAGGAGTAGGCGTCCTTCATGGTGAACTCGCGGACGCGCACCAGGCCGGCGCGGGGTCGAGGTTCGTCGCGGAATTTGGTCTGCATCTGGTACAGGATGACGGGCAGGTCCCGGTAAGACTGCACGTTGCTTTTAACCACGTTGGTGATCACTTCCTCGTGGGTGGGCGCGATGACCATGGGCCGACCACGGCGGTCTTCGAGGGAAAACAGGTTGTCGCCAAAAGCGGCGGCGCGATTGGTCTGCTCCCACAGCTCCATCGGTGCAGGGCGGGCAGGCGCAGTTCCTGGCTGCCGGCGGCGTCCATCTCCTCGCGGACGATCTGCTCGATTTTGAGCAGGGAGCGCCAGGCCAGGGGGAGGTAGGCGTAGACGCCGGCGGCGACCTGCTGGATCAGGCCGGCGCGGAGCATCAAACGATGGCTGGCGGTTTCGGCCTCGGGCGGGTCGTCGCGCAGGGTGCGGGTAACGAGTCGGGACATGCGCATGGGGAGCCTCGGGGGAAGGGTTGGGCGGATCGGGTGGGTGACGTTCAATATACACTTTATCACCCTCACGCCTGCCCTCTCCCGCCCGGAAGGCACGGTGTCATACACCGATGGACAGTGTTAAGGTAGGGGAATGGATTCCGGATCAAATCCGGAATGACGGGTTGGGGCTTGGGATGCGGAGGCGTTAACCCATTGCGTCGACGTTGGGGATGGGCGCTGCATCGGCGCGATTCGCACGTCGATGACGCAACCACACAACAACGAAACCGGCCAGCGCCAACACCACCGCCACGGTTCCGGCTGGTACCATCCAAGCCAAAACGGGCGATCGCGAGTCCAGCTCCAGCCAGCTGATGATGCGCAGGCCGCCGGCTTCCCAACCTGCGTCGAGTGTGCCCCCTCGCTCAGTTGTGGCCAAATCAGTGGGCGCTATCACTCCCACTGCATCGGTTGGAATCCCAAGTTGAGGCAGAAGCTCGGGCAGGGCATCAGCTACCATTTGTGGGTCAACGGCCCACACCAGTATGGTATCTCGAAGTAGGGAATCCCTGTCCACCGATGGCGGCAATTCGTCCGGTATTTGTGGCGCGCTGCCCGAAACGTGCAAAACCCCGGGCCAACCGTGATTGGTGCTTACCTGAGCGCCCATAATGCCGATTGTGTTGCCTGAGACATACGCGAAGCGGTCCAAGATAACCGACCACCGTAACAGTTCTCCAAAGCCATGCTTTACGGGTATGGTTACCAGTAGCTCGCCGTTGTCGAAACCGTACCTCTGGATCAGCCTCTGGCGTGCCGCCGCCTCGGCGTTGGGGTCATCACCAGTTACCTTTACCTGAACATAGTGCGTACTCCAGCTACCTTCTCCCCCGTGCCAACCCCCAATACCCAATCCTGGGTTTCGTAGCCAGTTCCTGCATGAACTGTGGCTATTCTGGGAACCACACGTCACCTCGGGGAAATTCGTCACGTCCACTTCTGAAACGTCGAAATTACCCGGTCCTCGTGCTATTTGCGCTTGTCGAGCCACTCGGTGTGGCCACACCTGCCGGTACGTGGCCCATCCGCGGGTTTGGCGCCGCATTGCATCCCCACCTGGCCGAAACGAAACACTCCGATTCGGGTCTGACCATAAGACGACGCCACCACGCGAACCCTGAAACGTGGACTCCAAGATGCAAGTCAAAGCCACCTCTAGTGCAACTCCATGACAATACTCGAACCACCCTGGAACGATGGACAAGTCCGGATATCCGTCCAGTTTTACACGGGCTTGTTCGATCAAAAACTGGCGCTGTTCCTCGGTGACGAAATCTGCCTGGCTCAGCTGGAAGTACAGCACCTCACCCACTTCGTAGACCGCTTCAACGTTGATGATGCCCTCATTGTGGGCCTGTTCAAGTGCGTGACACTGCACCGGATCGTCCGACAGCGTTCCGGAGAAGCAGTCTGGGAAATAGGTTCGCAAGAGCACGAATGCCGTGACATACAGTGCAACGGAGATGGCAATGAACATCAACATCCGCCGCCGCCGATTGGGGGGAGCGCCAGGTTGTGATGCGTTCACGTCGTTACCACCCTCACCCCAGCCCTCTCCCATCGAGGGAGGGGGAGCGTCACCCCATTGCGTCGACGTTGGGGATGCCCAGGCGGAATTGCCCGAGGTTGTCGTAGGCGCTGGTGTTGACCATGAAGTGCTGGGCGGCGGCGTTGACGTCGCGCATACAGCGCTGCAAGACCCGATCGTTGTAGATGGCGTTGCCGCCGCCGTAGCGGAACGCCGTAGTTGCCACCTGGCAGGCCACGTCGGTGGCATAGGCGCAGGAGCCCCGCAACCTCAACTGGCGTTCCAGGTCGGGCCGCTCCTGACGCAGGCAGAATTCCCAGGCGTTTTCCAGAGCTTCGCGGCACAGCGCCCGCGCCGCCCGCAGTTGCTGGTCGCACTTGCCCAGGTCGTGTTGCAATGCGCCACGATTTGCGATGGGTGAGGTCAGGTATCCGCGCTGGTAAGAGCCGGCCTGTAGCGAGATTTCGTCCAGGGCGCGCCGGGCGACACCCAGGGCGAAGGCGGCGTGGTCGGTGGTGACGAATCCGGGCCGGCCCAGCCAGAACATGGGACCGCCGCATCGCGGGTCGGTGGTCAGCAGGTCGAAGGCGAAATCGTGGGAAATGAAGCAGTTATCCAGGACGAAATCGCGACTGCCGGTGCCTTTCAGTCCCATCACCTGCCAGTTGTCCAGAAACTGCACGTCCTCGATGGGCACTGCCATCACCATGTGCTCCGGCCCGGTTTGACCGTCCCGAACGATGCGAAAGCCGGCAGACATCCAGGAAGAATGCCCGGAACCGCTGGCAAAGGGCCACCGCCCGCTGACCCGCCATCCGCCCTCCACGGGAGTGCCCAACCCGCGGGGAATGATGGACCCCGAAGCGATGGGCATTCGCCCGTTGGCAAAGATGCGTTCGACGCCAGCATCGGGAAGGAAAGCGCCCTTTCCACGCGGTGCTGGTGCTGTTGATGAAGGTGCACCAGCCGGCCGAAGGGTTGACGTAGCTAATCTCGTCGATCAGTTCCAGGTAGAGCAGCGGGTCAACCTCCGGCCCGCCCAGTTCCAGCGGCACCTTGAGCGACAGCAAACCTTCCTGATACAGCGCCACCACCGACGGCCAGGCCAGTGTCCCGCCGGTATCGCTGACCTCAGCGTCGGCTTCCAGGATGGGCCGGATGCGGGCGATGGCCTCCAGCAAATGGCGGCGCAGCGCCTCGCGCTCCGCGGGCAGCGTCGGGATGCCGGCATCTTCCAGAGCGCTTACGTCGTAGGGTTGGATGGTGGCACTGGTGGTGGACATAGGTTCCCTCTGTGATGCACCTGAACGACCAAAAGGTACAGGCAAATAGTCTCAGATAAGGATAACATCCCAAAGCCCCTCTCCCCCTGGCAGAGGGGTTGGGGTGAGGGCTACCCCAGCCCCACCCCACCCTCATCGGTACCCACTTTGTCATTGCGAGCGTAGCGCGGCAATCCCGTCAGCGTAGCAATGGCGTATCGCCGACGTGTGTTCAGCCGCATCGAGATTGCCACGTCCCTCGACGGGTTCGGGATGATCGGGCGCTCCTCGCGATGACAGATTTAACCGGGTACGCGTGAAACAGCCCACCCCCGGAGAGCAGGTGAAAAACGCCCGCAGCCCAAAAAAAGCCCCTCTCCCAGGGGGAGAGGGGTTGGGGTGATGGCACCCCCAAACGCCGAATGAAGGGTCATAGATGAGGGTTTATACCGGCGTATTCTCAATCTCCTCCATCAGAGCGGTCAGCATCTCGGCTTCCGGAACCACGCGCACCTTCTCGCCCTTGCGGAAAATGATGGCCCGGCCAGCGCCGGCGGCAATCCCTACGTCGGCGTCTTTGGCCTCACCGGGGCCGTTCACCTCGCAGCCCATGACGGCCACCTTAATTTTCTTGTCGCTGCGCTTGAGGAGCGCGTCCACGTCGTTGGCCAGCTTCACCACGTCCACGTCGGCGCGGCCGCAACTGGGGCAGGCAACCAGCGTCGTGCCCTTGTCCCGCAGGTTCAGGGACTTCAGAATCTCGTAACCGGCGGTAACCTCTTCCACGCTGTCGCCGCTCAGGGACACGCGGATCGTATCGCCTATGCCCTCGTAAAGCAGCACACCCAGGCCAACGGCCGTGCGGATGGAGCCGGACTGCACGGTGCCGGCCTCGGTGATACCGAGGTGCAGAGGGTAGGGCACCATTTCACCCAGGCGGCGGTAAGCTTCAACAGTAGTCGGCACGTCAAAGGCCTTCATGGAAATCTTGATCTGGTCGAAATCCTGTTGCTCCAGCAGGCTGATCTCCCACAGGGCGGTGGCCACCATGTGGTCCACTACGCTGTAGTCGCCCGATTGCGCTTCGCCGGCCTTGGGCAGACGGTTCACCAGGTCCATGTGGCGGGAGAAGCCGCGGGTGCGTCCGATACCGCCCACTGGAGGGAGGCTGCCGAAATTGACGCCGATGCGGATGGGGATGTTGCGCTGCTTGGCCGACTGCACCACCTCGCGCACCTGGTCTTCGTTGCGCAGGTTGCCCGGATTGAGTCGCAGGCAGTCCACGCCGCCGGCGGCGCACTCCAGGGCCAGCTGGTAATGGAAGTGGATATCGGCAATCAGGGGAATGTGAATCTGCTTCTTGATCTCGGCCATTGCCTGGGCGGCTTCCATGTCGGGCACCGCCGACCGGATGATTTCGCAACCCGCCTCTTCCAGCTCGTGAATCTGGCGCACGGTGGCCTTCACGTCGCGGGTGTCGGTTTTAGTCATGGACTGGACGGTAACGTCGGCGCCACCGCCAACTTTCACACCGCCAACGTACACGGGTTTGGTAACTCGCCGTTTGTTGTAAGTCATGGTCAACACCGCCGTTCAGTTGGGTGGTCGGAGGATAGCTCGATAGGTCGAACCGACGGGGCAATGATACACGACGGGCCGGGGGCGACGCCACATCGTCGGGCCGCGATGTTAAGGAGTACGGGCCGACACGGATGGTCAGGATTTTACGGCGGGGATACGGTCAATGCGGGGGTGGCGGTGACGGTGGTGGAGGAATGTTGGGGATGGTGGTTCCTTTGGGTCAGGTGGTGATGACGGTGGTTCGGTGGTTCTCAGGCGGTGGGTTGGTAGATTATGGAGCAGGGGTTCGAGTTCCGAGTCAGCGTACGGCCAGGGTACACAACGCATTTATGCTTACTTTTTCGCCGTTAATCGGCAGTCGCGGGGACTGCTGCAAGACGAGGCGCTGGGCTGTCGCCGCTGTACAGGCTCGGCAGCGCAGTGGAATGAGGCTGCTGCACCCGAGGCCCGACGTGTTGTGATTTTATGCTGACGGGGTTGGCCGTGAGAACCCGGCCCCTGCTCCGATGTGATGTTCCAATTGGTAGGTTTGCCTGACAAGGTAGATGTTAGAGGGGTGAAATCGGGAGGCGCAAGGGGCGGGTGTCAGCGCTCAGGGCAATTGCAAAGGCCCTTGGCACCCGCTCATGGTGAGCTTGTCGAACCACGGTCAACCTCCTTCGACAGGTTCAGGATGAGCGGAGCGGTCAACCTCCTTCGACAGGCTCAGGATGAGCGGAGAGGACAGGCCGCCCAACGACCAGGATGAGCGGAGCGGTCAACCTCCTTCGACAGGCTCAGGACGAACGGCCCGGTGGGGCCGGACGGGATTGCCGCGTCGCTAACGCTCCTCGCAATGACAGGCGGGTGCGTGGTTTCCCGTTTTCGCGGGAAGGACGAGAGGAACTGCGCGGGAATGGCGGCATTTATCAACACACCCTAGTTTTCTCCCAGCGTGGGAGCGGGGACTGCTACGGTTGGCTGGCGCGCGAACACGGCGAACAGGCCGGCGCCGATGACCGCGGTGGTTCCCCCGATGCGGAAAGCATCCCGGTCGGCCCGGGAAACGGGTCGCCGGGTGATCTCCCACGAGAGCATCTACCGCTTCATCTACACCCAGATCAGGCGCAATAAGGCATATTCCTGGCGACATTACCTGCCTCGGGCCAAGTCTAAACGGGGCTACCGAGGTCGCCGGGGCGGTAGCCCAGCCTCCTTCATCAAGTTGCGGCGGCCCCTGTCCCAGCGCCCCCAGGAGGTTGTCCATCGCCAGAGTCCCGGCCACTGGGAAGCCGACCTGATGATGTTCCGCATCCGCAAACAGGTGGTCCTCACCCTCCACGAGCGCCACTCCCGCCTCATCACCGCCGCCCGGCCACCCACCAAAGCCGCCCGGCCCATCGCCCAGACCCTGGCCAACATCCTGGCCCAGATGCCGCCACACTGGCGCCGCAGCGTAACCTTCGACAACGGCACCGAGTTCGCCCACCACTACCGGCTCCACGCCCTGGGTCTGGAAACCTTCTTCTGCGATACCCACTCCCCCTGGCAGAAAGGTGGGGTGGAGAACGCCATTGGTCGTCTGCGTCGTAACCTGCCTCGCAAGACCGACCTGGCCACCCTGTCGCCGCGTCGGTTTACCCGACTGGTACAGGCGTACAATAATACCCCTCGCAAATGCCTCGATTACCTAACCCCAGCCGAAGTCTTCCACAGCCAACTGTTGCACTTCAAATGTGAATCCATCTTCCCGCTTTCGCGGGAAAGACGAGAGGGATTGTGCAGAAAGGACTGGTATGTGTGGCTACGCACCCTCACCCCCGTATCAAGTACGGGGCAGGCTCCAACCCCCTCCCATCAAGGGAGAGGGGGTTGGATTCTCGGCCTGCGCGGGAAAGACGAGAGAATGGATTGGGGACGGGGGGATGGGCTCAGGATGATCCTTAGGCTGTTTGGTGCTTGCCCACTTTGCGCCGGCGTGGGAAACTGGCGTAACTCGCCCGGCGGTTGTCGGGCTCAAACTTCACAGGGGAGCGATGACGCCATGACTACTCCGCAAAACCCGTCGGAAACGCAAGCAGACGATGCCGCCCGGCCCGATTTCCTGCAGATGGATGGTGCCAATTCCGATGGCGCTGGCAGCACAGAAGGAGAGAATTGGTACGGATGGCCCCATAAGAAGGTCGAGCCCATCACGTTGTTGCGACCCGACGGCAAGACGGAGCGCGTGCGAACTCCGGTGATGGAACTGGAAGGATTAATCACGCCGACCGAGCTGCACTATGTTGTGCAGCACTTCGGGATTCCGGAACCGGTGGCCGCGGCAGACTGGTCGTTGTCGGTGGACGGGGAAGTGAAAAATACGCTGCACCTGAATTACGCCGAGTTGCGGCGCTTCCCTTCCCGTTCGGTGCGTACCGTGATGGAGTGTTCGGGCAGCGACGCGACGTATTTTGAATACTTCAAGGGTGAAGGACCCCGTCCGTCGCGAACACAGGAGCGGATGATACTTTCTGGCAGCGAGTGGACGGGTGTGCCGCTGGCCGCAGTGCTGAATGCCGCGGGGCTCACCGGACGGGCGACGCACATCCGCGCCGAGGGTTGGGACGAAGGCGTGCCAGCCTCTGCCGCCGAGGGGACCGAACCTTTCTTTTACGACAAGGGGTTCCCGCTGCAGAAGGCGCTGCATCCGGACACGATACTGGCGTACGCTCAAAACGGGCAGTTGCTGGAACACCTGCACGGCGCCCCCATCCGATTGCTGGTTCCGGGCTGGTCGGGCAACTGGTCGGTGAAGTGGCTGCGGCGGCTGGAGGTGATGGATCACGAGCCGGATTGCTGGTATCACTACAACTTCTACTACTACGCCGATTCTGCCGACGACCCAAACAAAGAGCTGATCACCACCATCGGGGTGAAGTCGCTGGTGACACGGCCCAACGACGACACGAAGACCCTGGCGGCGGGACCGCACGTGGTGCGCGGTTACGCCTGGAGCGGCGGCGGAGCCATCATTCAGGTTGAGGTCAGCGTGGACGGCGGCAAATCATGGCACCCGGCCCGGCTGGAAGAACCGTCGGAGCGGTTCATGTGGCGGCGGTGGTCGTGGGTTTGGGACGCTGCGCCAGGCGAGTACACGGTAATGTCCCGGGCGACGGACAGCGTGGGAAACGTGCAATCTCACGAACCGCGCTACAACAACATGCGCAAGAACTTCAGCGCAATTGTAGGCTACGATATTAGCATCGAATAGATTACCGGTGAGCAGAATACCGGGCAGGATGACCATTTTCGCGGGCGTCGGAGCACCCTGGTCGGCATGGATCGGGTGGGCCCGGCGTCTGTAGGAGAGTTGGATCAATGACTACCATCGCTAGCATTCTGGAGCAGGCCCCCGTGGTGGCGGCCGAATGGGCCGCCGACCTGGCCGACCGTCAGCAGCGGACCAAAGGCGATCCCGCCGACTACGCTCGCCTCGCCGAGATAGGTGTGCCTCTGATGGCCGTGCCCACCGACTTGGGGGGCACGTGGGAGAGTATCGAGCAGTCGGCGCGGCCCATCTGTTCGCTGCTGCGCAAGCTGGCGACCGGCGATCCGTCCATCACGCTGGCCAGCGCGATGCACCATCTGGTGTTGGCCTCGTGGCGGTTGCCCACGGTTCCCGAACCATACACGTCGGGATGGATTAAACAGCGCAACGAGGTGTTCGACAGCGTGCACAGTGGATGCTGGTGGGGCACTATCGTCAGCGAACCCGGATCTGGGGGAGACACGGCCCTGACATCGAGCGTGTGCGAGCCGGATGGCGTGAGCGAATTCGGCTACCGGATTTCCGGTATGAAACACTTTGGGAGCGGGTCTGGGTTGACGTCCTTCATGACCACCCGCGCGCTGGCGGCGGGGGAAACGGTTCCCGACCTGTTTTTCATGGAGGTACGCAACCAACCGTGGGACGGTTCCAGCGGCCTGAAGCTCACCGCCGAGTGGCGGGGGCACGGGATGAAATCGACCAACAGCCATGCTTTCGAGTTTGCGAAATTCCCGGCGACGCGAGTGGCATGGCCCAACCATCAGGCCGAATTGATGGGCGCAAACGGGGGCTTGGGCGCAGCGGCGTTTCTGTCGGTGATTGTTGGTGTGGTGGACGCCGCGATGGATTACGTACGTCCCCGCATCAGGAACGGAATGGCATCGGAGCCGGGGCTGCGGGCGTTTCAGCAGGTGGAGTGGGCCCACGCCGAACAGGAGGCCTGGCTGATCGGCCAAGCCTGGGAGGGCGCGATTCGCTGCCTGGAGACGAACACCGGCCGGCGCGAATTGCTGCTGGCCAAGGAAAGCGTGGCCCGGCTGTCGGACGACTGCCTGGGGAGGCTGTGCAAGCTCACGGGCGGCAGCGCTTACACTCGCTACTCGCCGCTGTCGGTGTGGTACGACGACGTGCGGGCATTGGGCTATCTGCGTCCGCCGTGGGCGCTGGCGTGGGATCAGGTGTTTCAGCAAAGCCTGGCCGGGTAGGGCTGCTCGCCGGGGGTTCACCCTCTCCCAACGATCCTTCGACAGGCTCAGGATGAACGGGGGGTTCACCCTCACCCCAACCCTCTCCCATCAAGGGCGAAGGGGTAGGGTTGGTGGTCGGGAGGCTGTCAATGGGGCGCATTGAAGAGTACAATATGCGCGCTATGGTATCGTACGCGAGGCGCAATTTGGCCATGCTCACGTCCGTGGGGGCGATGGTGGTTACGTTGCTGTTGATCATCTTTTTTGGCGCATGGGCCGTGTCGGCCAGCACCGAGGCCGGTCTTGGCAGCGTGCTAACCACCGCCACATCCGGGTTCACTTCCGGATACGGGCAGACAGCGTCAACGTCGGGGCCGGTCGATCCCAATGCTGTTCCACGACTGGCCACGGCTGCAATCCCCGGGGGCGGTGGAGCCGGAGCGACGGCTTCCGACACCTGGTGGGGCAAGGCTTTCCTGACCGCGTGTCCATTGCACTGAACGCGACATCCGGGGCGCACT